TGCCCGAGTTATAATTCAAGAATATAATCTATCCAAAAGCGCCTAATATCATATGCAGAGATAATCATTCCATGGATATAAACTCAATATGCGAAACCAAACGTCATTTTGTGAGTTTTTGTCTATAGATAATGGGGATCACTAGATGAGCTAATACTAACGGTTTTAGTTGCCAAAAGTGGTCAGTGAAAGAACCCTGCTAGCAAGAAAAAGATTGCTTGGAGGAATAACTCAACAGGTTACATCAGAAAGGAAGAGAACCAGAGAGAAATTGAGTAATCGGAGTATTCAATCATGAATAAGTAGCCACAGTACAAAAGAACCAGTTCTTCATGGGAAATAAAGTAGATTGTTTTAGACTATCACGCAAACACAGAAGCTCCATAGGCAAGAGTTAACTAAGAACGATAACCCTACATAAGAGTAAAAAGAAAAAAAGTGAAGCCAAAGGAAATGATATATTAGCTAGTTCTTACAGGTTAGTGTTCTTGGATGATGATAGAAACCCTTCAAAACCTTTTAATACATTTCCACATTGAGTTGGATCCTGCAGATAACTAGTCTCCAAATCATAGACCTGCATTGTAAGAAAACATTAGTTCCAGTAAAGAGACGCATCAAATACGCAGCTCAGCTGCAACTACAACAAGACATAAAAGAACTTTTCCATCCGTAGCTTGTGCTGCATTTCGATTCTAAACTGTGGACCAAACCAAAAGGAGAAAGAAAACAATTACAATCAAAACTCCCGTGGCAACATAACCAAGAAAAACTTACCTATCACGGGCGTATACACTCTCTCTCTATCTCTCTCATCACATGCTTATACACTCATTTCATGTAAGTTTTTCTCCATTAAGACACGAGACAGAAAAGGGCTTTATTCTTTAAACATACCATACAAACCAATTAATTTTTACTACACTAATTTGCATACATTTGCATCCATAGCTTCTGCTGCATTTTGGTTCTAAACTGTGGACCGAACCAAAAAGAGAAAGAACGAAACTACAGACAAATTTCCATAGAAGGATCATTAAGACGAGAAACGCTTACCTGCCACAGGCTAACCTACAGTTACATGTCACATGACAAGGAAGATAAATACAAAAAGGGGTTACACACCCGTTTTATGTAAGTTTTTCTTCATAACGATTTATAACACAATAAAGAAAAAGCTTAGTTCTTAAACCATAATGACACACATTTCTGATTTTCTATACAAGACCAATTAAAATCATTTGTGTACCCCCCCACCCAAAAAAAAAAAAAAAAAAAAAAGAGAGAGAAAGCTATATCCCCAAAAATGACCTCTAACTAATTAACCCAAAAGCCAAAAAACTCATTAACCAACCCTGAATAAAAGAATAATAAAAATTAAATTAAATTATTTAAGAAATAAATAAATAAATAAAAATTTGAACCTGTTTTTCAATCCCTCGGAGTTCATCTTGAAGCTTGGCTCTCCTGCTCAGAAGAGAAGCGAGCATTACCGACGGATTATTGCTCGGCGCTTTTTGCGCAGCTAAAAAATTAACACAAAATAAAAAGAAATCAAATTTTCATTGATAATAAATTAAAGATCAAATTTTTTCAATTATTTTTTGGAAGAAGAAAATCCCGACGCGTACCTTCTGAATCCATTTTCATCAGGGAATCGTTTCGCAGCTGCCCAGGAACCAAATTTCGCAAAACCCAAAAAACCCCAAATTTTTAGGGCACAAAATTTTCGATCCAGGAAAGGAGTCGATGTTTCGGGTTTGGGTTGCGGATGCTCCGGCTCTTTGTTGGTGGAGAGCTCGTGACATTTTCACACTTAAGTAAAAATACTATTTGGGATTGGGAACCACACATGTACACAAATTTTATGCGTTTTTCCTTTTTTGAAAGGTGCTATTGCATATAAAAGGACAATTATTATACTTCAAACATTTAATTATATATTTTTTATAAAAATATTTTTTTTCTTAAATAAAAAATTTAGAGCATCAATAACAACTTTAATATAGAAATACAGTGCAATAAGAACATAGTCAAAATAGAGTTAATTTTTTTTTTCTTTAACCATTTTTTAGCATCAAAGAGATGGATCCTATGTGGACATGAATAGAAATACTAGCCGGCTAAAAACATAAAAATAAAAAATAAAAATAAAAATAACAAAGTTATGTCAGTCATGACATCTCTTGATGATCCCCCATGAATTATAAGAAGCTTATGGTATGGTGGTACGGCAAGAATGCCATAAAAATAGGTTTTATAATCATTATTGTAGAACTTCACGAAACGAAATCGTAAGTAAGAACTCATAAGTTTTCCTAGAAAATGCAATCCGAAGTTTATTTCTGTGCCAAAAAATCACGCCCTTCAAGCAACATAGATTTTCATACATACTGTCTGTTGCAGTCTATTTTTTTGGATCAAATGATTATTTAAATTACTCTAATTTATGTTTTGGATAAGGTAGTTATCTAAATTACTCTAATATGTAGTTATGAGAAAGGAGAGATCAAAATTCGAATATGAGGAGAAGAATGCAACGTAAACGCCACAATAGTGCTAGTTGAAGCTGATTGCAAACAGTCAATGTGAAATTAATTTCCAGTGTAAATGTAAGTTTTTGTTTCTCATCAATAAAAAAAAACATACTATAACCAACTGAACTAACTTACATTTTTCATAATTCAAACGAAAATATGGACCGTAAGTTGCATAATAATAGATTTGTCTTGGCAGTAACAAAAGGTAGAGTCTGTCTCCTGTACGTGGCGAGTGGATAACGATGTGTATGCAGCGTGGACGGTGGTGGAGGGCAGTCCCTCCCTGAATCCCTGGTCCCCAAATTCAACGTCGGCAATTTGCTTGCAAGCAAAGCGTTAGTCTCACGCAGCACCATCGCCATGTGTGCGTATCTTTCAGCACCAGAGAACCTCACAGCAAAAGGGTACGTATCTTTCTACCTTTCTATTTTTCTTCCCATTTCCTTATTCTTTTTCTAGACCGCAGAAAAAAGGAAGAGAATATTATGTAGTTTATTAAGTTGATTTTCTTTTCGATGTTTTGACTGGTACAGTTCGGTTCGTTTCAGATTTCCTATTTGCTTATCTTTTCTTCTGCATGCCTCATTGGTTCAAATATCTCTTTAGCTGCTAGCCTTCTCTGAATAATCTGTTCGTTCTTGTTCTTGATCAAACTTTCTCTTTGGACTTGAGATTTTCATGGCTGCAATGTCTTTCAAAGGGCTCGGTCGGGTACTCTCTCTCTCTCTCTCTCTATGTTGGTTTTTGAAGCTTGGTTGGTTTGGTTTAATTGTCGGTTTTTGTTTAGTGTCTTAATTTTATTCAAGAGCTCAAGATTTTGTGTCAAATCCCATGTTTCTGTAAAGATAATTCAGTTTGATGTTGCTTCGGATGAACCCGATTCATTGTATATAATATCTATCTAGTTGGTTCTCAAGGAACTTTCTGCAGACATGAGTTAAGCTAGTTAATCAGCGCAGTATTCCTGCACCATATTCGGTATCCCTCCTTATAAATCAGAGTAGTTTGGAATATCGCTGTGTGATCCTTCATAGTCCTCAACTTCTCAGCGACCAAACAGAGGATAGATGTCTAGGCAAAATAGTTACTAAGCTTTCCTTAGTATTGGGTTAAATTATATAACAGAATTGGTTTTTTTTTTTTTTTTTTTTTTTTTTGTGTTTTCCAGCCAAATGCTTCATGTGCCATGGGGGTTTCCGATGAGAGCAAGAACACTTTCATGGAGCTCCAGAGGAAGAAAGTTCACCGCTATGTGATATTCAAGGTTGATGAGAAGAAGAGGGAGGTTGTAGTTGAAAAAATTGGCGGTCCGGCGGAGAGCTATGATGATTTTGTGGCAGCTTTGCCGGATAATGATTGTCGATATGCCGTATATGACTTTGATTTCGTAACTTCTGAGAACTGTCAAAAGAGCAAGATCTTCTTCATCGCATGGTTAGTTTTTGCCCTTAATCTCTTCACCATATGATTTATGTATAGACTATCGAGTCACTATTAGTCCCGTTAAACGATCATTCTCAAATCCAGACGCAGATTATGTTAGTTGGCCAGATCATTGTGTTTCTTCCTGGCACCCAAGTTCGAAATCCCGCTCCCCATAGATTAGACTAGTCTAGTACAATGGAGGAACAATATCACAAATTCTGATCCAATTCCAAAGCTGCAATTTTCAAATACCTGCAGTTATTTGCAAATCCATGATTTTTTTATATAAATCATACATAAATTTGCATTTGCACCCTTGATTTTGTATCCAGTGATGATCCTTTCATACAAAATCAGTGGTGCAGAATACTATTGGTTCAAATTTTAGGCCTAAAAAACCAAAACTTGCGTGAGCTTGGAAATCCAAATACTTGTTCTATCTTGTGCTAATTCATGATTATTTATATACTAATGCTCAGGTCCCCTTCAACCTCTCGAATCCGTGCGAAGATGCTCTATGCCACATCTAAAAACAGGTTTAGGAGGGAGCTGGACGGTATCCACTACGAGATTCAGGCTACTGACCCAACAGAGATGGATCTTGAGGTGCTCAAAGACCGCGCCCATTGAACCGTCTCTGCAGTACTAAAACACATGTTCCTCAGTCAATCAAAGTCTCTAGGGTTCTGCAAGTTTGTTCTGCTGGCTTCACCATGTATAGAACCCGTTACCAGCACAAAACTGCATTACTGTTCCTCGAATAAACTGGCAGGTGAGTTAGCTGGTACGAAAAGTATGGTTTGATGTTATCTTCTTGCTTCAAACTTTAATTACCTTTAGGTGATGTAAACCCCGAGAATTGTTGCTCTATACATTTGGTTTCGTATGGATTTATGTTTGCGGAGCAAGAAATGCACAACCAGTCATTGATTTATTGGTCTTGAACAAATTCATAACCCGAAATATATGCTTAATAGTCAATGTAGTCGGAAAGATAAGCGAAGATCAACCATGAACTTTAATACAAAAACAACTACAAAAATACAGAAAAGAGTATGCGGTTTCTACTTTAATGTAATACATAATGATATAGAGACCGAAACAGAGAAAAATGAAAACTTATCCTAAAAAATTGCTCCATTTGTAGATGAACAATAGAAACTCCCTTCTAGTCTATGTGATCTAGGGCTGCTTTCGATCTCTTACTTCCTTAGTTGTGTTCGTTGCTTTCGCCAGACAGTTCCTCCAAAGATTTTCCTTTCGATTCAGGTACAAAGAACGTAAATAATAAACCCAAAAAGTTGATCACACCCAACATAATAAGTGAGTTCTTGACCCCTATACCAGCAGGAAACCCTGCTTCTGCCTTAGCCTTGTCCTGCGGTTGCGCCAAGAACAAGAATCCGAATGCACCCACCATTGCCCCTAACTTTCCGGCTGCTGCAGATATGCCATGGCAAGTTGACCGCAGTCTAGCCGGGAAAATTTCAGCTGGCACCACAAATGTAGTAGCATTAGGTCCGAAATTTGCAAAGAAGAAAGTCAGTGAGTAGAATACCACAAACCCTATCAAGTGATGTGTCCAATAATCGTAGAGAAATGCCAATACAAACATGAACACTGTCATGAAGAAGAATCCCATCATTTGGATTGTGAATCTTCCGATTTTATCAATGAAGGCTACAGTGAACCAGTATCCGGGTACAGTACTGCATAGGGCGATAAGCGTTTGTGCCCTTGCAATTCTATAAACCTCTGAAACGGCATTCAAAGTTTTAGCATTAGGAATCCATCCAATGGCGCTGAAAATGTCTTTCTGAAACAGATTTTGGCTATAAAATGCAATGTCAAGCAAGAACCATGTGCTTGTGGTTCCAAGCAAGTGGAGTCCATGGCGGTGCATAAACTCCTTAGAGAATAAACCGAAAGATTTCACAGTTTCCTTAGGCAACCTGACGGGTTCAGGTTCTATGTCAACCTGCAATACTTTTCCCATATCAGCATTAGCCTGGTTGACATCTTTCGCAACAAGCGCTGTGTAACGGGCAGTTTCTGGCATCTTTGAGCGCGAGTAGTAGGTTAGAGCTGCCGGAAGTGCTCCAACCATTAGAATGATTCTCCAAAGGTAGTCTGCTTGTGGGACAGTTGAACCAACTGGATCAACTTCATAAGATGGAGCCTTGAATTTGGCCTCAAAAATCGCAGAGATGAGCATTGCAAACAACCCTCCTGCTAGAATTCCAAACCCCTGCATGGCAAACACCGCGGCAACAAAGGCACCACGAGTCTTTTTATTTGCGTATTCAGACATTATGGTGGCGGAAAGAGGGTAGTCACCACCAATGCCGAACCCTAGCCAGAACCGAAAGAAACAAAGCGTGGTCATTACAGACTTCGCGGTGTGCCCAAAGGAGAGCGCGGAACCAATGGAGCATATGATCATGAGCATAAGTGTCATGCCATACACTTTTTTTCTCCCCATTTTGTCACCAAGCCAGCCGAAGACCACTTGCCCTGCCAATGTGCCAACAAGCGCCACGCCATTGACAGCTGCTGACACATTTGGAGGCAATGTGCCTGGTTTTGGTGATCCTTCAACGTGGTAATATATGCGGCCAAGCAATTTGGTGACGAGGGATATGCAGAAGAGATCGTATGCGTCGGTGAAGAATCCCATTCCGGCGATTACGATTGTGGTGAAATGGTACCATTGTGTTTTTGCAGTGTCAAGTGCACTGAGCACATGCAGTTGTTCCTTGGCCATGGATTTAGCCTTGCTTGGTTTGATCTCTCTCTTGCAAACTCTATTTCTCTGGTTCATCAATATGCAAGAACACAAACGGTAAGATTACATTTCCATAACACTGTATGAATAAAGAATGATTTAAATGTGAATTTGATTGATATAAACACAGAAGATTAAAACACAAGAGTTTCACATTTCTTGAAGAAACTTAAAATAAGTCGGAAAAATTCACATAAAGAGGATATAACTAATTGTTCCCGGAAACTATACGTGCAAGACGTTCATTCTTTAGTAAACAACGGATGTGCATTGATACTGCTGAAAATCCGTCAACATGTTTGTACGTTTTGTTACAGACAATGATATTGACATATTATCAATGACATATCAACACTCTGTTGATTAATAAAGAACATGCATCAGTTCCATAGCCAGACAAATAATTCTTCATATATAATTGAAAGATTGCATTGTAAAACATAGGATGAGACCAAAATAATTCCTAGAATTAATTTATAAAAATTCAACAATGGTAAATAAAATATGAAAAACATGCAGCTTCATCAAGAAGAAACAAGAACATGCATGCATAGAGTTTTTTTCCTAACCTGGATCTTCTCTCTCAACCTAGAGAGAGAGAGAGAGAGAGAGAGAGAAACTCCGACTCCAACTCCGACTCCGAGAGATCTAGAGAGAGGGGTAGGTAATAGGTTATGCTCTAGGGGAAGCAGGGAATGAGAATTTATAAGGGAAGGGCGCGTCGCCGAGCAACCGGAATATTACAATGGCATATTCTTCCCCTCCATTTTAGCTAGCTGTTGTTTCTCTGCAGACCCTTCTGTTCAACAAACTCAAGACATCTTTCAGCGGTATATTCCGAATGTCCGAGAATTTCTAGTAGAAACCAGTAGTAGCCAAAACCGAAAACAGTTCCATATACGTTACCAGAACGCGTATTTCCACAGTTGTCCAATTTCTATATTTAGTTTTCAAATTTGAGGTTGAAATTTTTGACATAAATGGTACGTAATATATACTTTGGTGAAGGAATTAAATTCCATATAATCTGAGGGGATGGAATATATGTCCTAACTGCTATGCTAGCTAGCTGGAGGATCGTAAAAGATTTCATTACAAGATTCATTTCTGATTTGGGGGGAGATTTTCAGGTAAAAGTAATCAATAATTTCTCAATGATTTGGAGACCAAAAGCAAAGAAATTATAGAATGATGGTAGAAATAAATGGATTAATGGAACAGTGTGCCGAGTGTACGAATGTACGAACACCCTCTATATTAATTTGGAAAGTAAAAAAGTTCCAAGTTTTTGAATCCTCAATCACGTTGAGAAGAAAAAATGTACATGACACATGTTCTATTTGACTCCTTTTAAGTGTTACAAATATAAGATTTCTATTAAATATAAGGAATATAATATTAAATTTTCTCCTCGTAATCGTATTGTCGAGATTTCCTTAGAAAAAATAAAGAAAAATAATATCAATGAAACCTGAGTGGCAGGAGTTCTTGAGTGTGAATGATTGTGCATATTATACGTTTATCTCTATTATTACGTGACTACGACTACGATCTGATACGGGACATACTCTGAACAGTGAGTGGACTAGCCACTCTGCCTTAAGAGAAAATACGCAAATCTACCTAACCCCCCAAAACAAATTCGACTTTCACATTGAGAAACAGAAAACAGTTGATGATTCACTTCTACTTTATATACTCAATACCATTTAGTCACAGCTGCGGAGAGAAACATGGGTACCCTAGTTTTGATCATACACGCGACACCGTAGATGACAGTTTGAAACACAAGACCTCAGGTTCAAAGATAAACGCTGACGCTTTACGTACACACATGTTATACATGGAAAATGCACACTTTATCTGGCATCCTTTGTAAAAGCCAGGACATAGACTCATGGAATACCACAAAGGATGAAATACCCCTCCCCAAAATGAACTACAGGCTTACATTACAACATTATTTTCTGCACTGCTTATAGATCCAACCTACACAACTGGAACTGTCCTGTTGTTATAGTTTGATTGCTCCAACTCCACTGTCCCGGTTTCGCTTTCTTCTTCGTTCTCACCCGACATCTCCTCCAACGACCTCCCATTCGATTCAGGCACCAAGAAAGTGAACAATATCCCCAAGAAGTTGACCACACCCAACACAAGGAGCGAGTTTTTAACCCCGATGCCTGGAGGGTACCCTGCATCTGTCTTGTTCTTATCTTTGTTCTGAGCCAAGTACAAGAACCCGAATACACCAACTATGGCGCCAAGCTTCCCGGACGCAGCTGAGATTCCATGACACGTAGACCGGAACCTAGCTGGGAAAATCTCAGCCGGCACAACAAATGTGGTTGCATTAGGACCGAAGTTCGCAAAAAAGAAGGTCAATGCGTAGATCACTACGAACCCAATTCGGTTGTCCTTGTGAGTCCAGTGATCGTAGGGAATAGCCAGTGCAAACATGAACACTGTCATGAAGAAGAATCCCATCAATTGAATTGCAAATCTTCCAATCCTGTCAATGAAAGCTACCGTAAACCAGTAGCCAGGGACAGTACTGCACAATGCAATAAGAGTTTGGGCCCTTGCGATTCTGTAGACTTCTTCAATAGCATTCATCGTCTCTGCAGGAGGAATCCATCCGATCGCACTGAAAATATCCTTTTGGAACAGATTTTGGCTGTAGAATGCAATGTCAAGTAAGAACCAAGTGCTTGTTGTTCCAAGCAAGTGAAGTCCATGACGGTGCATAAACTCCTTGGAGAACATAGCAAATGCATTAGCAGTCGGCTCAGCCCTCTGGGGTTCTGCTTCAATTTCTACCTGCAGAACCTTTGACATGTCGGATGCAGCCTGTCTCGCATTCTTTGCAACGAGGGCGGTGTAACGGGCAGTTTCAGGCATCTTCATGCGCCAGTAGTAAGTCATTGCAGCTGGGATTGCTCCTACTATCACAATAATCCTCCACAGATAGTCCGCTTGTGGAACGGTTGAGGCAAGTGCATTGACCTTATATGTTGGAGCATCAAAATTGGCATTAAACGCGGCCGAACAGATAATAGCAAATATCCCACCAGCTAAAATTCCAAACCCCTGCATGGCAAAGACCGCGGCAATGAAAGCTCCCCGAGTCTTCTTGTTAGCATACTCAGACATGATTGTGGCAGAAAGAGGGTAGTCACCGCCAGTGGCGGATCCACAGTGGGGTCGTCGGGGTCGCACGACCCCTTGGAAACCATGGAAACAACCTTGAAGCTCCCATATGCGACCTCTTGGAGCTGGGGTCGTCGGAGTCGGAGGCACGCCAACTGTTCGACAAAAGCCCTGAACGAAAACTGGGCAGGAAGAGGAAGAAGAAGCAGCCCAGTCAAATGAGCTTGGTTGTGTGCTTGGTTGCATGCCTGTTTTTGTCAAGTGAATGATATTTATACATGCTACTTTTTATAACTCTATCCAGTTTAATTGGTCTTTCTGATAAAGAAATGATAGGGGTTGGAGGAGTGCTATATGAGAACGAGAACATTAAGAAGATACGGAAATTAATTTGAAACATCAAGCTGTCAGGGAAAGCAAAAATTTGGATACGCCAGTAACAAGACAATAAAAGAGGAAGTTTAAGTGAAACTTACTTGCATGAATCCACATAAACGAATTATGATGTGATTTATGCCAGAATCTTGGGTCAGTCCCTATACTTTATTATTGTTCCATGCACAGATTAATTCGACACTGCACCAAACGCCCGACTAATGGAGTTAGTACTATCCGACGACTATTTATTTTATCCGACTGAAATAGTCAATACAGTCCGAAGTACCAAACGAGGCTAAAAAAAATTTCGCGCTGCGCGCGCTATGACCCCATAAACATTTTTTCCTGGATCCGCCACTGGTCACCGCCAATACCAAACCCTAGCCAGAACCGGAAGAAACAAAGCGTTGACATAACGGTTTTTGGGTTATGCTCATATGAGAGACCTGAAGCAATAGAACATATGACCATAAGCATAAGAGTCATTCCATAAACTCTCTTCCTTCCCATCTTGTCACCAAGCCAGCCAAAGAAGCGCTGGCCTGCTAAGGTTCCACAAAGCGCCACACCATTTACGGCGGCTGACACATTCGGAGGCAATGTCCCGGGCTTCTCTGCGCCTTCAACGTGGTAGTATATGCGGCCGAGCAACTTGGTCACCATAGAAATGCAGAAGAGATCATATGCATCTGTGAAGAATCCCATTCCAGCAATGATAATTGCAGTGAAATGGTACCATTGTGTTTTTGCTACATCAAGTGCATTGAGAACCTGTAATTGCTCATTAGCCATGGCTAAGCTAGCTTTTACAAATTCTCTCTCTCTTCTCTTTCTTTCTCACCAGCTTTTTTTTTTATCTGCACAATTTGAAGAGTGAGAAAATGAAAAAAATATTTATCGTGCGGAAGCGGCAAGTACAACGTAAAATATTCGAACAATAATATAGCAACACAACATTAACAGTTGGTCATACGTTGAAAATTAAATTTTGCCTCACCTAGAATTCCAGGTTCAACCAATTCACTTTATAATTTCTGACTTTTCAAAATTTTTTGTCACTAATTTATCACATCACAACATTAACTAGAGAAAAAGAATTCTTATAAAGGATACTATAATGAAATGCTATGGAGACTTTTTCAAAAATAGGATTCTTCATGTACTATCTTTCCTTTTATGTTTTTGGCATAAAACTTTATATGTTGTTACAAAAATTGATGTTAAATTGAAAAGTGACAAAAAATTCATGAAGAGTTAACACTTTAAGAGAGTTTTTTTAAGTATTTCTCTAACTAATTACACAGTCCAAAGAAATTTTATTTGCCACCCCCCAAAAAAAGGGACCATTTTATTTGAGCATGAAAAAGTGAAATGATCTTCTGAAACTAGCAAAACTTCCATGACTACTGGAAAAGTGGAGGAAAAGACAAATAATGAACTCTGCCTCATTCTACCACTGAAGAGGTTTTTGTTTTTTTGGCCAGATTTCTAAGTGAGAAAAGCTCTGGTGGGCATTTGGACAACGTCGCCTGTCGTACTTTGCTTTCAATTTCATATTAATTTCACTCGGCGCGAGAGTTGTCGTACACAAATTTTTGAAGCTTGAACTAGGAAAATCACGTTCAAACTGCCCCACACAAGGGACAAGGATTGTCTACTCTCCATTTTCGGTGTCCTTTCTGTGCCCTCTTGTTTGTGTGGTCACGGTTAAGCTACATCAACATTTTATATTACTATTCATTTTTGTCTTATTATAACTATAAAAATAATATAAAATGTTAACGTGACTTAACCGTGACCATACAAAACAGGAGGGCACGAAAAGAGCAACGGAAGTGGAGAGCAGACAATCCTTGTCCCTACGCAAGTAGACAAACACATAACCTACTGAGGATTTAATAGAAGTCTCAAAGTATCTACCAAACCATTTAAAACCCCACTCACTTCACACTTTACACTTTACACTATGCACTTTGAGCTTGCAACTTGCATGCATGGAGAGATCAGCGGACTTAATTACAAGATCAACAACAATGGAAGCAAAAATTAAGCATAAACAAAGATGTTTAATATCTAATTAGATAAATTAATTGATTTAATTTGCAGACTAACCTGTTGGGAGCGAGCGAGAGGGAGATGAAGAAATTTGACGGTGAGACAAGGAAAATGAAGGGATGCGAATATTTATAGGCAACGGCAGCAGCCTCACACGAAGGAATTTCCACCGGCATTTTCCATTTTCTCCCCCGCGTCCGTTTTTATTTTTTCAGTCAACCGTCGCACCATGTTTCAAGTCTCACCTTGCCCACCTTCCCCGTCTTGCTCGACGATTTCGACACGT